AAGGATCTTAGTTAATCTTCACAATTAATCCTGCTAGGTAAGATTATTATTCTCATTTTGCACATGCAGATGCTGGAGCACAGAAAAGTTAAGGAGCATATACCCGGTCACAATGCAGCAAGGAGTGGAGCCAGGATTTGAATCAGAGTCTGTGTGTTTACAAAATCCATTTTCTTTCCATTCCCCTAAATTATGATACAAGAATTCCTGCCTTATTACAATTCTTGCCATTTTCTTTCCTTCTCTGTTTCATATTCCAACAATGAAATTTATTCAACACTATGCAGAGTGGTTTCATATTTCTCTATCTCATAAAAATGTCTACATAATGTTGGCTGAAAGGATCTTTTCTTATACATTTACTTAGTATTTACTCCAAGTACTTTATATGTATTAACTCATTTAATCCTCGCAACAACCCAGTGAGGTAGATACTGCTATCATCCTCATTTTTACAGATGAGGAACAGTGAAGCACAGAGAGGTTAACTAATTTCCCTAAGGTCACACAGCTGTGGTGAAGAAGTTGAGGTTCAAAACCAGAACCTGAGCTCTCAACCATGGGGCTGTAATGCCTTTTGACACAGATATAATTCAGCACTGATTGCAAAGGAGTAGACACCACATGTATTTCAAAAGTTCACACATGTTAGTCATAGACAAGTCTTTGGCTTCACAGATTTCATCAACTAACAGAAGATCATTTTTTCCTATTTTTTTAAAGTACCCCTCTTATAATTAGTCCCTGGTAGTGCAAATAGTTAATGTAATGGACTGCTAATCTAAAGGCTGGAAGTTTGAGTCCACCAGCAGCACCATGGAAGAAAGGCCTGTTGATCTACATTTGAAAAATCTTGAAAACCTTGTGGAGCACAGTTCTATTCTGATACACATGGGGTCACCATGAGTCTGAATTGACTCAACAGCAACTGGTTATCTTGTAATTATGTCTCCTTTGCTTCTGCTCTTTCACTTGCTCTCAGAACATACAATTCAGAAGTTCAAGCATTAAATAAACTACAATGATGGACGTCAAAACACTGGTTCTTGAACTCTCTCCATGTTCTGATTTCCTTCTGTTCTCTTCAAACTCCTCATGCATTGGCTTCCTTCATTGACTAATACATCTGGCTTCCCAACAGGCCTTGTTTAGGATTACATCACTCTGCTTTCTCATGAAGAGCTGGCCTCCCCATAGTTCACTGCCTCTGATAATTGCTCCATCTTCCATGCTTACACCGACTCCCAAGAATCTCCATACTACTCCCAAGCGTGAATTATCTGAGAGGTGCATAAGAAAATCTAGGCATTCCATCTGCTTTTGACACAAGACTCAAGGAATTAGATTTTGTACCTATAATTCATCTATTATCTACAGAACCTCCAGTTCACTCTAATTCAGATTTAATTCTAGGAATGATTTTTCACTTTCCCATGTTTTTCTTCAATTTGTAATTCTAACAAATGGAAATTACTGCATGTTTATGTGGCATATCTGAGGTTCCCCCAAAAGAAACTGATATGTTTAGTTTAAATGACCATATGCATATCTCAGAGATATTTAAACATCTGGCCCTACTTTACAAAGGCTTAGTTTCACAAGTTACACCAGAAAGAATGCATTTAAAAACAAATGCATTAAAGTCATGGACATCTAGAAGAAAACCACATCAGTGAGACCCTTAAAATTTTTACTAAAGTAAAACATTAGGAATGGTGACAGATTGCTAATTTCCTATGAAGGATCGTACAATTCCAACTGAGAGCTCTGGGTTGGGGGTGTATGGGAGAATAGAAATAGGAACACTGTCTAACCTCAGAGACTCCTCCTGCTCGGTAGATATTGAGTTAAAATATTAATGTTACCTGTTGGCCAAGATACCATTATTGGTGTTTACAACTGTTATTCTCACTCAAAGACTTCATTTCAAGATCTCACCTATAGATACTGTAAGCCCCACTACTCAAGGATGAGGGGGAACAAGTCCTTTTACCCGGAAGGAAGTGAGAGATATCTAACTGAAATCTAAAACATCAGAAAGAGTTCGTCTTTGTCATCAGAGAAGCCAAGAGATAACAGTAACCATAAAATAATCAGAGCTCCCTAGCGAAAGCAGTGAGGCTCTCTGGACACAGTGGGGTACAGGTCTCTACAATTCACCATAACTCCTAATCTTGAATATATGATCCTGAATCTATAATGAATCCCTTTCCTAGACTGTCTGAATCACTTAGGGTTAAAATTCAGGTCCATTTCAAATTCCTGATTAGCTACTGAATGAAACACTGAGCTCTGAGGTATTCACAACAGGCATTGGTACTTCGCATGCTGTTATTAAACAACAGAGACATAATTTAATTGTTTCATGATTTGAGGATTGTTACTGGATTGGGTACAAGAGAGCTGATTAAAATAAGAACCATGCATTTATTAGCATATTCATATTTTAGTTTGTTTCAATGAGCCATATAGATTATGTATCATAGAAAGAACACAATGGCTACAGTTCTTTAAAAACAGATATCAGGACTTCTTGGAGAAATAGCTAATTCCAGATCTGTGGTAGGAAACAGGCAAGCAAGACTGGAACATCTTGTCATACCACATAGTGAAGAAGGTATCAAAGTTATTAGGATCATGTCAAAAGGATTCAACAGCCCACTTGAAGAGGCTCCCCCTGGCAAAAGATGGAATAGATTGCACGTCATTAAGGATAAGGTCTGCAATGGAGCTGAAATCTATGAATTCATAAAGATACTAAAAAAAACAAACAATAATTTATCACTGTTGGAAGACACCAGAAAATTAACTCATCATATGAATCCTGGTAAGTAAAAAGTAAGAAAGAAGCATTTATGCTGCCTTTTCTATATAAACTAGACACCACTGGTAATCAAACAGCAGATTAAAAGCTTCTTTTTATGTAATGTATTCCAGCTAATAGGTGAAGAAAAATTGAAAGAACTAGAATATCATCAATTTTCATCTCTCAATGAATTAATTGATTTAGGTTCTTCTGCATCACAAAAAGAGATGCAACTTGATCATACATGCCTCCTGATGAAAGAACACAACAGCGCTATAAAGCAGTCATGCCAAAAAAAAATTAACCTGAATCTTATCAAACTTCCAGATACAACTATTAACTTACAGATAATACAGAAGACAGAGGGACACGTCAACCTACACCATGGTTATGCAAATAGCAAACTCCCAGACTGTGGGAAATGTGAAAAGACAAATAACACTCAGCAGTACATAAAGTTGCAATGGGAAGAAAAGATGGAAAGGGAACCTAAAGATTAAAAAAGACATGAAAGATATATCAAACCATTGCACTGTTTGGACCTTATTTGGATACTGATTCAAATAGGAACATTTATGAGGCAATCAGAAATTTGAATCCTGGATGGACATTTGATAATTAAGAAATTCTTATTAATTTTTAAAGTGTGATAATGATAGAGTGGCTACAGTTTTTAAAAAGAATGATTACCATTTAGAGACACACATTAAAATATTTACAGATGAAATTCTATATATGGGATTTGCTTAAAAATAATATGGGAGGGGGTCAGTGGATAAGAGTATGAACTGGGAGAGATTGGCCATGGTTTTATGGCAGCTGGGGCTGGGTGACAGGTTTGACTACCCTATTCTTTCTTCCCTTTGAATGTTCAAAGTTCTCCATAATAAAAAGCTCAAAACAAAACCAAAGGACATAGGCATTTCTTTGTTTATATTCTACTCCCAATGTTTAACCAATTTTAAATATTTCAAGGAAAGAAATGTATCAGGGCTAACTTTTAAAAACTGGCATATATGCATGAGCTTCACTTAAAATTTGCAAAAGCAGTCCATTTTTCCAGAGGAAAGAGAAAGTACAAAGGACAAACCTTCTGTACATTATTTAATTTATATACTTACTTAATTCACCAATATATCGTCTGTACTCTCTCAGCTTACTGACCAGTAAATGAAAAGTCATTTTATACAATATGACTGTATGCATGTAGTTCAGTTTAAGTGTGCCCATCATTATTTTAACAGGACAGAAAATTTTTCAGCATAAAGATACCAGCTGCCTGTTTACTAAGAGATAGGCAGGTACAAAAATAAAATCATAATTCTTTCCTTCTTATATTGTATAAGCCATTTTTTTAAGCTAGTCGATAAGATGCTTTTTTTCACTGAGAAGCTTTGGACTATCCCCATGAATTTACTTTTGAACAGTCTTAAATTGCAACAAATTTTTTTTACTAAAAATCAATTTCCCAACATCCCAAGCTGCCCTTTTCACACTTTGTTTTTCCATTTTCCAACATCAGGTGGTACTTATCAATTTATCTGATATGTCTTATGTCAAAGGACTTTCAAGAGACAAATAACAACTTATACACACCCTGTTGACTGAAGAGTGGTGACACATCAAAAAAATGACTTTAAAATGCTCATAGGTACCCACTGGCCTAGTTAGCAAGCTTCTCGTTTTTATGACTAGATGATTTTATTGTTTCTTCCCCCTTCAAGTTTCTTTTCATGTATTTATCATCCCACACCCACCATTCTATTCACCTGTGTCAAACCCAGATCTAAAGGGTGGGAATCAGAGACTGGGCTCAGGAATGGGTTCAGATCGTGGGTTTTTTTTTTCCCCCCACAGGGTCCTTAAACTGGGGAGGCCTGCATGATATACAACTACGAATAACTGTCCTTTAATTAAAGGGCATTTTCTTCCTCTGTGATTGTTTTGCAACAATATCAAAACAATTATGAAATGTTTATCCTCAGAGATCCTGAAGCCCACTTTTTTGAGTCACTGGCTCGTTTTCAATTACTGAAATAACCAAACAAAGAACAAGCAAATCCAAACAAGTAAATGCAAAATACATTTTCCTCCTCCTCCTATTTCTTTAGTACAGAGTCTGTTCTCATTTATGATATTTATATCAAGGTCCCCTTCCTTGCATAAAATTGATAATTAAAAGAAAAACACTTACCCAGAACAAGAAGTTGAAGATAAACATAGAATATTTTAAACAGCCACTCACACCTGCCATTTCGGAAAAGGATCAGGTCTTCAGATTCGTGAATTTAACTACTCCTTATAAGACTGTCCTGTAATATGCTCTGGAGTAATTTGCCTGCAGGGATGTCTGTGCCCACAGCTCCCAAGCAGAAACAGAAAACAAAGAAGTAGAGAGGGAGGAAAATATCCAGTTATTAAAGTGGATAAAAAATTAACCCACACATTTAAATATTATAAGGGCTATCTCTAGGTGGGTATGTTCTTTTGCTTGTCATGGCTCCTAGGGCCCTGGGCCAGGATATTTATGATCCTTTCTCAAAAACTGCCTCATCTAAAGTAAACAGATATCATGTGAAGGGAGTGGCTCTGGATCAAGGGAGAGAATGGCACAGCGATACTAGGTTGTTGAATTTCAGAAACCACAAACTGACTTCTCTGTCCTCTATTTCAACTATAGGGAAGTTGAAGTTGTTTTGCTGTGAAGTAAAGAGACATTGTGTCTCAACTCATTTCTGCAAAGTAATTTTTCGAGAATACAAAATTTTCTCTAAAAGCAATAAAATTCTTTTAGAACTCTGCGAAATCTGAAGGCTTAGACACAGCAACCTTTCTTTATCCCTCACCCTGGAATAGTGAAACAATCATTACATTTACCTGTATTCCAAACATTCTAAATTTATTTCAAAACAAATTCATGGAGCTGCCTTAAATGTACCACAGTTTGGGGGAGGGGAAGATAGCCTCACCTATCATAAAAAGACCATTCAATTTATATTTTTATTTCTTTAAAATGTAAAAAAAAAATCTCAATTCACTCTCTGACTGCTCCTATTGTTTTCATTTTATAATGTGTACCCATTTTGATAATTCAGTTTGTTTTTAAGGTGAGCATTGTATTTCACTTCCTCTGACTAATTATGTGTAATAGTTTGTTTCCACCAACTCAGAGGGTTTCTAGATTCCTGGTCCTCTTTGACCAAAAATTCAAAACGTGACAGTGTTGCATGAATCAGTGACCATGGGTTATACAGTTTGCTTCTGGTGCTAATAGAAGGCAGCTTTCCCAAGTAAAGGCAAAATTCTCTGACCTAATCAGGGAGGTGTGGATGGCTTTGTGTACATAACCTGGATCATGCTAATTTCCACATCCTACCTCTTAAGAGAGGATTTCCTCCCCTAAATAAAAGAACCCTTCAAACTTGTTAGGAAAATAATTAAATCTTGGTTAAATACTATACAATATGCAAGCATGGACTTCTTCCAAAAATAAAAAGTATTTTTTTAATTTTCACTGACATACACATGTTTTTGAAACATTCCCACTCTCTCACTATAAACACAATGTATTTTTAATGCACTAGCAGTAATAATTCTTATATTAAACATGAATCTGGGGAGAGGTTAGAAAAATAATGGCTTACATTTAAATAACCACTAAAACTTTTGGTGTCCTATGTTGTTTCTGCCTAGAAAATGAAGATAATTTCACAAACTTCTATGAGAGATTAATATATACTGAATAATCCATGGCTGGAAGAATTTTAATTGAGTGAAAAAACAAATGAATTCATAGTCCCAGCAATGATTATTTATAATTTAGAGATAAGATCAAAAGAAATGGATAGGTTTAAATGATGTTAAATTATTCTTGGATCTAGAATTTTGTTAGTAAGAATGTATTGAGTACCTATCAAACTTTGGTTTAGAGTAGACTTTTTTTCAGTGAATGTTGAATATTCTTATGACGAATATAGTCTTTATTTAATTATTCTTGATCTCTGAAACATAAAAATCATTGGATGTGTTCTTACAGGAAAAATGACTCTAATGTCACAGAATCCCTATAGTCCAGTTCAAAATCTATTTGCAAACAGTTTACTCCTCTAAATTCCTAGCTCAGTGAATGTTGCCCAAGCTAGGTACTGTAGAGATATTCTGCATTCTTCTTTCTTTCTCACCTCATATGTAATGAGTCCTCTGTTGATCACCTAAATTTCTCAGATCTGTCCCCTCCATTGCATCCTCTGCCATTGTCATTATTCAACTCTTTATCATCTCTTAATTGAACCATTTCAATAGAATCATGATTAGCTTCTCTGCCAGTCTCTTCCTTCTTTTATCGAGTACCACTCCAGAATTCTCCTTCTAAAATACTGATGGAACATGTAACTCCCCTAATTAAAAACTACTCTAAAGATGGTTTCCGTTACCTGCAGGAAACTCCATTCAGACTCCTTAAAACAGTACTTAAACCACAAGGCAATTAGGCCTCCATCCACCTAACAGAACTTTGTCCTGCTCCTCTCTGCCTAGGCAGCCTTAATGCCTACGCTCCAAAACTATAGGATTATCTCACAGACCTAGCACAATGCCTTGAGATTGTATGCCTCTGTGCCTGTGCACAGGTTGTTCCCACTGCCTGAATATCTTTTCCTACCTTCTCTGCCTGGTGAATTATTAGAAATATCCCTCAGGACTCAGTTCAAATGGCACTTCACCTGCAGAGTCTTCCCCTCCCTCATCCATTGCCCCCACTCAGGGCAGATTTGCTTCTTAGTCCTTATGCCCATTATAATTTGAACAAACTTTTAATACACAATTGTCATCCTGTATTACATTTGTTTGTGTCTCTCCACTGTTTGATCCTTTATGCCTAGAAGACAGAGATCCTGGCCTACTCATCTCCGTACCTACAGCAGCTGACATTGGAGATACCCCCCCCAAAAAAACCCAAACTATTGCCATTGAGTTAATTCCAACTCACGGCAACCCCACGTATTACAGAGCAGAACTGCTCCAGAGGGTTTTCTTGGCTGTAATCTTTACAGAAGCAAATTGTTAGCCTTTTTTTCTGCAGTGCTGTTGGGTGGGTTTGAACAGCCAGCCTTCAGATTAGTTGTTATTGTTGTTGTTAGTTGCCACTGAGACAATTCCGACTCTTAGAGACCATGTGTGTGCAAAGTAGAACTGCTCCGTAAGGTTTTCAAGGCTGCGAGCTTTCGGAAACAGATCACCAGGCCTGTCTTTCAATGTGCCTCTGAGTGCATTCAAACCTCCAACTTTTTGGTTAGTAGTCAAGCACAAACCATTTGTGTCACCCAGGGACCTTACTGAAGATAAAGGGGTGTGTAATTACAGCCAAAATCTCCAGAAACTTCAACTAGTGATCCCTTAACAAAGTTCTAGAGAGCTAGCAACATGCTACCCACTGCCGCCCACCCCCTTTCCTGCAAACAGTCAATTATCAGGTAAAAAATCACTTTATTTTAGGGTTTGTGAGAATCTTTAACTTGCTAACTTGCAAGAGGGTGATAAAATGCATATCAATTCCCAAATGATTATGGCCCCAGAACATTATATTGAGAGGTATATCCTTTTACAGGTGTTCCAGATCATACTTAGAGAAACACTGATCTAGACAACTCCCATATTTTACAGTTGAGAAAAGTGAAACTCGGGGAGGCTGAGTAGCCCAAGTTCACAAAACTGGTTAACAGCAGAGCTCCTTCAAGAAATGAGGTCTTATGATGCTCAGGTCAGTATTTTGTCCATTTGCATCAATTCTCTCTCAAGTTATGTAGTACTGTTAGAAGATGAGTCATTTATAACCTTAGATCTTGAAAAGATGTTATATACCAGATATTTCAACAGTGGAAGGTGCGTGCGGGGAGTGACAGCAATGAATCTTAGACCTCATGAAAGACCAGGCCAGGAAGCAGAGAAAATGGAGAATAGGGACAAGAAAAGACAACTGAAGGAATGAGCAGAAGGAAAATCTCAATAAATTTAGACTTAAATTTCCCTCGTGTTGCCATCATGCCAATTATTATAGGTTATAGGGTAAAGCAGGATAAGGCTTCAGATCTGATTAACCATGAAAACTCTCCAGTAGGCAATTATCATCGAGCTAGGAGCCCTGGTGGCGCAATGGTTAAGCATTCTGCTGCTAACCAAAAGGTTGGCAGTTCGAATCCACCAACTGTTCCTTGGAAACTCTGTCCTGTAGGTTTGCTATGAGTCAGAATCTACTCAACAGCAACAGGTTTCGACTTTTTGTTTTGTTTTGTTTTAGGTAATAGTAGTATGGGGAGCCTTGTGTGTGGCGGGAGGCGGGGGTGCTGCAGAGAGGGAGAGGTAGAGACCCAGAGAGAGAGAGAGACATTGATTCTTTGGGCTCTGGGCAGAGAAAAGGATACGAGTGGAACTACCAAATACCCTATATAGAACAGCATTTTTCTCTCGGTCTTCAAGCAAACCAGGCCTACATTTGGGACTAGAAACAGAAAGCAGACTAGGTATGTGGTTCATATTTTCATCATGGTATCATCTTCCTCTAAAATACACTCAATAATTTGTTCAACAAACTTCACTGAATGCCTGTTATAACTTTCCTTACAATTTTTCTCCTTAATTTTTTTTTTTTTTGATGGCATGTGTTTTCAGTATTGGAATGTGTGCTTACTAACTGAGTGTGTTTAAATTTTTGGTTGGTAATATGGATTTTGAGAAATATTATCTAGTAATATAAACCACCAATGAAGTGAGTGGCACTGCAGCGCCACCAATCTGTGGTATGACAATATACCAATGAGAGCTATATAAATAACTTATTAAGGACACCCTTCCATCAGATACAGGGGGAACTTCTGGTTTTCCAAATATAACACACACAAAAAAAAAACAAACCCATTAGGCTCGCAATCACACAGGAAAGCCATAATTATGCTTGCAAGCCTTATCTCACAGAAATAAAGGGGAAAAAGGCAAAAATTTACAAAACTAACACATCCAGAAAGCATCACCTAATGGAATGCTCAATCTATACAATAAGGCTCCAACTCCTGTCTGCTGAGCTTCATGCCTTTCCAAAAGGACCCACCTTGAAGCTAATGCATTAAAGTTGGAATAACACCTTACCTCTGAGGTCCAGAGGCATAAAAAGTGGCTGGTGTGTACCCTTATACCAAGGATAACAAAAAGTTAAATGTAGTTGCTGGAGACACAACAGTTTAAAAAACAGTTAAAATTTCTGCCTTCATGAAGCTTACATTGTAGTGAAGAGATAACTTTCTCTTTTTATTTATGTTTCTAAAATGTAATAACCCAATATATTCGTCAATGTAGTATGTAGGAAAAAGTAAACTATGTGTTTTAGAGAAAATGCTATATTCTCTTAGTGATACCCAGTCTGCTCCACATTATCACTGTAAGTTTATAGCACATGACATTTTTTATGGTATTGTGAAAATTCAGTTTATTTTCTCAAAGGCTGGTAGCAGTAGTACGAAAAATGATTTTGACGTTTCTCTTCCTTATTACAGTAATTAGGAGTGGGTTGTAAGTGCGTGGAGTCATGTAATAAAATAGAGTGAAGACAGCGTTCTG